GACGAGAGTGTCTCGGGTGCTCTTACTAGCGAAACGCTAGTCAGCGCCGCCTCGGATCCTTTCCGTTTCGAATGTCGTTGCAGGCATCGGGTTGCACGCGAGGGAGAAGGAATTCCGCTGCCTGGCGATCATTGAGTCATTGGCGGTCAACGGGGCCGCCCACGATAAGCGTCGCGGCTGTTCCAGGCCCGGGGACTTCTTTTCTTCTTTTTGTATATTATATTAATATATGTGTTGTGTATATATATATATTATATATATATAATATATATATATATATATATATAATATATATATTATATAAGTGGTGTGTATGTGTGTCATTGCATCAGTGATCCTATTGCCTTGGCGGAGGTATGCGCTCTCCTGAGTGCATTTAGTTCATATCATAAACTATAACTTACTATTATTATTTATTATTATTGATTATTATCATGACTATTATTATATTATTATTATTATTATTATTATTGTATTATTATTGATATTAATGATATTATTATATTGATATCTTATGACCATATGATATATATATATTATAACTATATATATATATATATATATATATATATATATATATTATATATATATATTATTATATGTATGTATATGTATTAGTAAAAGTTATTCTTATCATTATTATTATTACCATCATCATTATGATTATTAGGATTATTGTCAATATTATTACTAGTAGTTAGTAGGAGTAGTAGTATAGATATCCTTATTGTTATTATTCATTACTATTATTATTTTGTTATTATTATTATAGATCATCATAATGATAGATGATAATAAATAAAATTATTATTATTATCTCTATTATTATTATTGTTATAATAATAATAATAATAATTATTTTATTATTATATTATTATCATTATTATTATTTTGATAGCAATGATTATTACTAATATGTGATCATAACTAATATTATCATCATCATTATTCTTCTTGTTATCAATATCATGATCCTTATTCTCATTTTTATTGTTATCAAAATTATTCTTATTTTATTATTATCCTTATTATTGTTATTATTATTATTACTATTAGTACTATCATTATTGTTATTATTATTGAAATTATTATTATTGTCATTATTATTTTTGTTATTTTTATCATCATCATTATTTTATCATATTATTTACTGTTATTCTTATTATTATCATCATTATTAATATCGCAGGTATAATTCTATTGTTAGATTATTCATTATCATTTATTATTATATTGTTATTATTATTTTATTATTATTATTATTATTATTATTATTATTATTATTATTATTATTATTATTATTATTATTATTATCATTAATATTATTATCATCATTATTGTTATTATTATTATTATCATTATATTATTATAATGATGAATGAAATAACAACGATAACGATATATGATAATAATAATGTCATAATGATGATTAGCAAGGAATAATGGTAATTAATGTTAATAATAATTATGATAATGATAAATTTGACAATGATAGCAATAGAAATAATAGTAATATTAATGATAATAATAACAATGATGATAACAGTAATGAGATGATAATAATAATAATAACAACAATAATGATAATAGTAATGAAAATTATAATGATAATAGTAATAATGATAATAATAATAATAATGATAATAATAATAATAATAATAATAATAATAATAAATATAATAATGGTAATAATTATAATGATAATAATGATAATAATAATAACTGATAATAATAATAATAGTAAAAATAATAATGATGATGATGACAATAATGATAATAATGATAACAATGAAAATGATAAGTATTAATGATAATGCTAATGCTAATAGTAGGAATTATATGTTGTTATTATAAAAAAAAACAATAACAAATAAAGAATAATAAAAACAATAATAATAAATATGATAATAATAATTGTAATAACAATGTTGATGATGATAATAAAGACAAAGATAACGATAATAATAGTAATAATGATAATAATAATAATGATGATAATGAATAATGATAATGATAATAATGAGTAATAAAAATATTGATTATTATTATGATGATAGTCATGGTAATGATCATAATAAAGATATTAATAATGATAATAGCAGCAATAGTAGAAGTGATGATGATAATATTAATAGCAACAATAATATTGATTATAATGAAAATGATAGTAATAATGATAATATTAATGATGATAATAATAACAAATGATAATGATAATAATAGTGGTGATAATAATGATGATGATGATATGATAGTGATAGTGATAATTGTAATGATAATTATGATAATGATAGTAATGACGATAATAAGAATAATGACATTGGTACTAGTAAGGATAATAATGATCATAACAAAAATATAAAAATGATCGTAATAACAATGATAATGATAGTATTTTTTAACATCATCATTATTGTACCTTTTTATGATTTTTCCATTATTGTTAACATCATTCTAGTGTTACTATTATCATTATTGAAATTCTTAAAACCCTTATTATCACTATTATTATCATATTCAGCGTCATCGTTATTATTGTTAATACTTTAAAAATTATTATCATTATGGTAATATACCTGTAAAAACAATTATATGAAAGTGAAAGTGAAGTACACTGCAGTTCTGTATTCTTTGGATGTACTCACCCTTAGCCTTAAAAACACAGCGCAATTGCTTCACCGAGTAAATGTACGATCTTCGAGTTTAGGAGTTTCTGAGTACAATAATCATATTGTATTTTGATTTACACATTTCGATAAAAAGCAAGACAACAGCAATACAAAGCTGGAAGTTCATTCTCATATAAATTGCTAGACGAGAATAGAAATGATGAATGGGCTTTGACCTGAATCAGTGAATAGCGAAGAAGGATCGCTCCCAGGAAAAATTACTTTACGTTAGCTCGCTGTTTTCTGCTGCTCAGTTAGATATAAGATAATAAAATGCACGCTGGAGGAAGAATAATTTGTAAGCAATAAAGAGAAAGATATGATGGACCTAATCCTCAATGAATAAGAGACAGGTATCGGACTATATACTGTAATTCAGAAGTTGCCTGTACATTTGCAAACAACAAACTGCTAGTGATTTGACCCCAAATTGTTATGCATTTGTTCCTATCTCACAAATGTATTTATTCATACCCCATTCTCTGGACAAGTCGCCATAGATAACCATTCTCTTGATTAGCAGAATTCCGAGAGACAACAGCACTGGCGTCCAATCGCAGTCCTGTCTGAATTAAAGGTTGTGGCTGACTATCGACTACTAAATAAACGATGATGTACCTTTGTGTAGATGTTTATATTCAGCTTTCTATCTCTGTCTCTATCTAGATCTGTATCCATCCTCCTCTCTCTCTTCTCTCTCTCTTCTCTTCTCTCTCTCTCTCTCTCTCTCTCTCTCTCTCTCTCTCTCTCTCTCTCTCTCTCTCTCTCTCTCTCTCTATATATATATATATATATATATATATATATATATATATATATATATATATCCCTCCCTCCCTACATCCATTCATCCATCCATCTGTCTATCATCTATCTGTTTAATTATCTGTCTATCTTTCTGCCTATATTCTGTGCACCCAATTATTATATATCAGAAGATAAATGTTAAATGGTAAATATATCGATAGGATTACTATTCTCAAAACCACTATAGAGGTCCCCGTGCAATCGTCATTTTGGCGAATTATAAACAACTTGCATTGGCCAGCCCTGTCCCCGTTGCATGCAGGGGCTTTGCTGCCTCTGTTGCTCGTTAGTGAGAGCAAGAACTCGCTAACTTGATCTTGCACTATGTGAATGTAAATGGCCGAAGTAAATAGCAACCTTGTTAACACAGCAATCATAATATTTGTAGATTATTCTACCATGACTTCGCTTTTTCGTTCAGATGAGTGTGAGGCTGTGAGGAAGAAGGAGGAGCCAAAGGATGAGCGGCGAAGGAGGCTGCTCAAACAGGTAAGTCGATTTCGTTTTGTTATTACTACCGTCATCCTATTTGTTGTCATAATCATTATTATCATCATCATCACCATCTTATTGTTATTATTACTATTATTGTCATTATGGTAACAGTAATCAAACAGGTAGGTCTACTTCCTTTTGTTATTACTATTCTCATCCTATTTATTATCATAATCATCATTAGCATCGATATATTATTAGGGATTATGTATTTACACAAACACATATGCATGTTCTTTTTTATTGAACTATTGTCAGTTTGGTCAGTCACCAAACTTACTTTTGCTCTTTTCGCCCAGCCATCATCACTTCCCTTGCCTTTGCTCTCTCCGCAGTTCGGGCTGGTGTGCCTCGCCGCCAGCGGGCACTTCGCCCTGGGTGCCACGTTGCCTTGGCCCTCGCCGGCGCTCTCCAGCATGGCGGAGAACAACTCCACGCTGGTGGGCACTGAGATCACCCTCACCCCGGCGCAGATGGACATGACAGGTGCGAGGGCGGGTGGGCGGGTCAGGCAAAGGAGAGGAAAAGGAATACGAGAGGCGGAATTAACAAACAGTCAAGAAAGGAAAAGCGCTAATACGAAAGTGTTGGAAGCGGCACAAAGAATCTAATTGCTTTCCTTAACACCCGCAGGCAGCCTTGTGTCGCTCGGGTCCCTGGTAGGGGCGTGGGTGGCTGGATGGATGGTGAGTGTGCTGGGGCGAAGGCGGTCCCTGCAGGTGATCTCGGTGCCCTACCTCCTGGGCTGGCTGTGCAACGCCCTGTCGCCCAACGCGCCCGTCCTGCTCACCGCAAGGTACGTGCGCCGCCCACGCGGACACACTCTCTCTCTATGTGTGTGTGTCTCTCTTGCTACCGGCATTTTTCCTTATTTCTCCATTAACTTTACTATGTTATCTCTCAAGTCTTTAGATGTTACTTCCTCCCATTTCATTTCTTCTCTTTCATATCTCGTTCGCTGCCCCGTCTCACTCTCCTCTACCCTCCCCCAGCGCCGCCCCCTGTCACCGCCCCCTCCTCTTCTCCCGCCAGGTTCGTGTTGGGCCTTGCCTGCGGCGCCACCACGGTCGCGGCCTCTTCGTACATAATGGAGAGCTCGCGGACGCGAGAGTGTGCGGGGCATGATGTCCACGATGCCCACGCTGGGCATCGTGCTGGGAAGCCTATACACTGTATGGATGGGCTTCGCGTTCCCGTGGCACTACTTGGCCCTGGTGTGTGCGGTGCCACCCGCCTTGCTCCTGGTGGTCACGTTCGTCCTTCCAGACTCCCCGTCCTTCCTGGTGGTGCGAGGCCGCCGCCAAACCGCCATGGTCATCTTGAAGAGGCTGAGGGGTGAATATGCCGACGTAGAGGCCGAAGTCCTTGAGCTGGAGCGACGCAACGCCTCCTCGTTCCTCCACGAAGGGCTCTCCGCAGGCTGGAAGGGGGCCCTCCTCAAGACGGAACATCTTGAAGAGGATCGCGCCGTCATGGTGATGTTTCTTGTCCAGCAAATGTGTGTGCGCAACTATTGTGTTCATTGATCCATAGTACAGTGCCAGTGGTCCCCTGAACGGGGCGAGCCGGCAGCAGCCGTCCCAAAGCTAAAGTAGACCGAGACAATGGGATCCCCACCGCCCCCCCGAAAAACAAAAAAAAAAAAAAAAAGAGTACAAAAGGTAGTGCCGGTGTAGAACGCAGCACAGCACATGGAATACCCAAGTCCCCGCCCCCCGCCAGAAAGCGAACGGGCTCGTGGATGGTCGCGGCCGGAGCGACGTGAGTGGTCCACTATCTTCCTGCGTGGACCGGCGCGGGCCGGCCGCGGCTACTGCTCGGCGGCCTCGCGACTCCAGTATCAACGCCTCAGCGCTCGTTCGTGCTCTAGGATATTACAAGTATGCACCGCTCCGCGAAAAAAAAATGCCGTTTGGGGCCGGACGACTGATAGCGGCTTACGTCAAGGTGTATTGTATAGAGTCCGAGAGTAGAGAGAGATCCAAGAGAAAAAGATATTCGGAAGAGAGGAGAGAGAAGGAGGAGCAGCAGCGATGGGGTGATGAGATGTCGGAAAGAATTAAGGAGAGGAGAGAGACCGATGATGAAAGCATTCACAGACACGTGGTCCTGTTAGAGAGAGAGAGGAGAGAGGATTGTGACGAGGAGCGGAGAAAGGAGAGAGAGAGGAGAATTATAATTCTGCTATCGGAAACTACCTCCGTGAGAAAATGAAGGAGACAGAACAGACGCCTATGGCGTTCCTTTTCTTCGCTCGAGCGCTGCCACAACAAAAGGGCGCACCAACACCGCTAGATGGCTACGTAAGCGTCCCTTTGGAGACGCGTTGCAGTGCTACCAATTTGCATCGTCGGCTCCTCTTCTTGTTCTTCTCACATTCTCCCTAATGCCCAAGCCATTAAATCCCTATGTAGCACCTGGAACGTTCGGCGCAGCGGCTTAATCTGTTCAGCTCAGCCTAAGCAATCCCCGGCCTAAGATGGCCCGTGTCTACAACTCTGGCCTTGACAAATTGATTATACCAAAAAGCAGGGCTCTGTCAGGAGCTGTGGCTTGAATGTAGATTTCAAAGCCAGTGGAAGAAGACAACGATAATTTTCCGATATTGTCTTAAAAAAGCATTTATGATAAACACTTCTTTATCTAACTGATTCGCGTCAAATCAGACGACGGCGCTAAGGAGACTCCTTTCTTGGCTTCATGTAACTTACATTTCAATTCTTGTATTTTTGTACTGTGCAGCACATTAATGCTTCTTTCCTTGTCTTCCATCAGTTCCTTGTGCCAGTAATAGCAGCGTGGCCAGGATATATATATTATATAATATATATATATATATATATATATATATTAATATGTATATGTATATATATTTTATAGTGTGTGTGTGTTGTTGTGTGTGTGTGTGTGTGTGTGTGTGTTTGCTGTGTGTTTGTATACTTACGTTGTTGACTTCTTTAATAATCAAATTAATAAAATAAAATCCAATTAAATAATGATATTTAAAGTGTGTGTAGTTCTCCATTCTCATCCCTCCTCTCTCCTCTCTCTACCTCTTCTCTGCTTTCGCTCTCTTCTCTCTCTCTCTCCCTCCCCACCCATCACTCACTCACTTTGCTCGTCTCTCTCGTCTCTTCTCTCTCTCTACGGAGGAGCGATGAGTGTTTCACTGCTCCTGGCAGTGTACCAGCGCCGTGAATCACAGGGAAAAGGATAAGAATGATGGTAGTACATCTACTATGGGTAGGTGTGGTGTGTATGTATGGTAATATATTATGTATATTTATATATATATTAATATATATATAATATAATAAATATATATATATACTATATACTAATAAATATATATAATCTTTGCCATGCTCGTGTCCACCATAATCTATTTTTATATCGTTATAAATCAAAAGAGTTACTTTTTCTCACTATATTTTCCTATGCAGTTGAACTGGGTGCCTCTTCTCTGCGTTCGTGGTGATCATAGTTATCCTGAATGTGGGGCTCATCCCGTGCCTTTCATTTAACTCCTCCGACCGAGTTACTTTCCCACCAAACATCAGAGCACAGGTAGTGACGGCCATTCCAACTTGGACCATTAGGATAATGGCTTAAAAACATTCTAAAAGAACCGAAAGGTACGGGATGGTCAAGTTGAAGAAATGAGAGAAACGCTTAATAAAACTCCCCTTGAGGCTACATAGTAACTAAAAACGTCCAACGTTTACTTGACTATGCCGCATCGAAATCGAAACTAGAGAAAGATCTAGTACGGATTATTTATCCTCTCTCTCCCTCTACTCACACACACACGTGAGAGGCGTGATAATTGAACGATAGAGAGAGAGAAGAGAGCGTGAGAGAGAGTCGGGAGAAGAGAGGAAAAAGAACATGAAGTAGATGCTGAAGAAGAGATAAGAACATCTGACAAGACGAGTGGTAATAAAACTCTCTGAGAGACATCGGATTGACTTCTCGAGAGATCTATGCTCTATCTCGGGAGAGAGAAGAAATGAAGAGAGGGGGGGAAGGGGCGAGTGGATGAGAGAGGGCGGGAGGGAAGAGAGGAGGGGGAGGGAGAGGAGAGGGGGAGGGACGAGAGAAGGGGGACGGAGAGAGAGGGGGAGGGAGAGAGAGGGGGCGAGGGAGAGAGAGGGTGGTGAGGCGAGAGAGAGGGGGGAGGGAGAGAGAGGGGAGGGAGAGAGACGGGGGTGGGTGAGAGGAGGGTGTGGGAGAGAGAGGGGGGGATCGAGAGAGGGGGGAGGTGAGAGAGAGGGGCGAAGGATGAGAGAGGGGGAGGGGAGAGAGAGCGGGGGAGGAGAAGAGAAGGGAGGGAGAGAGAGGAAGGGGATGGGGAGAGAGAAGGGGGAGGGGAGAGAAGAGGGGGGAGGTCCCACGAGCGAGAGGAGGCTTATGCAGAGAGAGCAATTACAGAAAAGAAAAGGAGAGAAAGAGGGAGCGAGGCAGAAGTTGAAGAAGCAGGAGGATACTTAACAGGACGGGGAGAGGAAGGGGGGAGGGGAGACTGGAGAAGAGGTAAAAGCAGTGTCTAATGTATATTATCAGGAAGAAAGATCGCGTCTCGATTCTGCGTCTCTCAGTAACGGAGAGAAGGAGGAGACATGAGGAAGAAAGGAAGAGAAGGAGGGAGGAGAGGAGAAGGGGAAGAGAGGGAAGAAGAGAAGGGAGAGGAGGGAGGAAAGCGGAGGAGAGAGAGAGGAGAGAAGAGAGAAGAGAAAGAAGCCCCAGTGAGTACGGAAACAAGGAAAACAGGATAAAGGTGAAAAAGAGTAATAAAGGCTCGCTGCGACTCCCGCGCCTGCGCCTGCGCGAGCTGCGGGACTAGCATCGCTCGCGCTCTCTCGTGCTGCCCTCTCCTCGCCGCGCGGCGCTCAGCGGATCTCGCGCGCTGTCAGAGCTGGAGCGAAGAGAGAGATGAGGAGACGGAGAGAGATGATACGCGTGACGGCAAGTGTCCGGTTTGTGGGAAACCGTGGTTGGAAGACGCAAGAAGAAGGAAGGGATGAAAGGATGAAAACAGGATGAACGACAGGACTAAAAACAGAGCGGTAAGAAGAAGACGAGAGCGAGAGAGAAAAGAGAGAGGACAAGAAATGAGGAAAAACGAAGGAAAAAGAAAATCCCCGTCGTGCGAGAGCAGTAGAAGAGAAGTGCGATGCAGGCTCTCTCCTCTATCGAGCGGAATACTGTAAGGCAGTAGATGCGGAGAGAGAAGAGAGAGAGAAGATGAGAGATCGAGCGAGAGAGACGAGCGAAGCACGAGCAAGCCGAGAGAGCGGAGCTTGGGAGGAGAGAGAGCACGAGAAAGACATAAGGACGAGAAAAGTTAGAGTCAGGACAAATACGTAGGCGTAGATTAGAGCTAAGCAGGTTGCTCGTAAGGAAGACGAAGAGAGATTTATAAGAGACAAACAATGACAGCGAGGAAGAGATTTAATGTGCTTTCCATATGGCTCGCACCGTCAAAAAATTCCGGAAACAACATATTCTCCGACCTCTCTTAGCATCTAGAGCCATCCACAAAACTACTAATCACACCTGCTAACAGGACATCCGCTCTCCCTTCAGTTGGCTTTTCGTGCCTGCGAACCTCCTCTCCGTTTTCTCGCCTGCTCGCTAGTAACTACGCCGGAGTGCAGATCGGCGCTGACGACAGTGCGGGAGCCCTCCTAACTGGTTCTACGCCAATCCCAGATCCAGCGCCCTCAGGCGGTACGGCCTTCAGCAGTTCGCGATTGGAAGTCACACGAGAGAAAGCGCAAGCGGTGCCGGGCCAGTCGGTGAAGCCCCGCCACGAGAGAGACATGTTTGAGTTGTTTGTTTTGTTTAAGAGTAAGCGCTTGAACCGCAGGAGTAAACATCAATGGCTGCAGAAGCAGGTATCCTCGGAGGACATTGTGGAACAACAAGCACAAAAGACAGAGGCAGTACAATCGACTGTCAGTACTGCGGGAGAGCCTTCCTTCCGGTTGCTCGTGTCTCGCGCGCAGCTTCGCGCGTCATTGCGTCGCGGCACCCACCCTCTGACACCCTACTCAAAAATTTATACACCAAACACACAACACACACACAGCCTAATGTCCCACAACATAGACAACACACCACACACTACAACTACACAGCCGACACACACACCACACACACTACGCACACACAGCAGACACGCCACCAACACAACCACACAACGCGAACAGACACACCACAGAGTTCAATATATGACTATGTATGCACAATGATTATCTGTGAGTGAGACGTTTTTTTATAGCTGGAAAAAGATAAAACAGGTGAGAATAGAGTAATGTTGTACAGAATTAATGCTCACATATATATAATAATAAGAACGATCACATAAATAGAGCCTCGGTATAAATTATAAATCTGTTTTCTCTTCTTTTTGCGCCGCGCCGCCGACCAGAGATCAAGCACCGAGCAAGTTACATA